ACACAGCTCGGTTACACAGAGAAGGAAGTGAAGAGTGTGTTTACAGAACCTTTCAAATCAAAGGTTAGAAAGTGCTTCACAAACAGCACAAAGCATCAGCACTTGCAATTACAAGTGAACTGAACTGATCTGAATGTTGTCACACCTCACACCTTCAGTGGACTGTCTGAGGGCATCCTCTTGGTGTGTAGCCTTAGTGGGACACACTGAGGCTTGTTCTCTTGTGCGTTGGACAGCTAGTGTTAGTGACCATTGTGCCATAGCTGAAACGAGTTTAAGTGATGTTCAGGAGGAAAACTTTAAAGCTGCATTAACTAACTTGTCCCTCTAATTTTTGACCATTAGGGCTTCAAACGAACTCCAGCAGCGTCCCCTTGTCTTCTCCCTCCGCTCCTCTTTGCCCGTCCTACCCTCTCTCTGAAACTACATCATATGTGGTCACAATAGCCGGAGCCAGCTTTGGCTGTCAGGCAGCACCGCAGTAATAACTGGCTCCAGAGCTAATGTATATGGAATATAGAGCCCGTGGTTTCCAATGGCGTTGCAGTGACACAGTGTCAGATAAAGAGGTTTAGGTTTTAGCGCCATGCATATGTATGTCCAATGTTGTTTGTAGCGGATGTATCTGCAGTAACATAAGCAAATTATACAGAGCCATGGTTTTTCTAGTAATCCTGATACAGTACTAATGTTCCAGCCACTATCGTGTCACGTTTAGTGTTACATACTTGACACACATAACATTATAAAGTAACCATGAGCTGTATGAAAGACCTGAAGAACTGGGGTAGGGGTTGTCTTTTGATTGCTTTATCTGAACTTGCTAAATCTAAATCTTATTTAATGCAGCTTTAAGTGTGACTGTGTATCACTCAAGGTTTGTTTGCTCAGTTGTTTGCACTAGTTGTTCTGGTGTGAGCAGTGTTTGTCTCCAGCTTGTTTGCAGACCCATTAGTTTGATATTTAGTATGTTCATTTTGTGGGCGAGTGCAGCCGTATGTCTGTTTAAAGGAGCCCTGCTTCACTTGTGTTGGCTGAACAGGACACCGTCAGCTTGCTGTTTCCTCTTTAGTGTGGCAGAGAACATGGGTGAAGACCCACAGCTGACATCCACCCTGCGTCACCGTCTTTTGTTTAGTGTTAGTTTAAATAAACTCCACTGGTTTCATCACAACCTGTACATGACCCAGCTCCTTGTCACGTCCCCTGAGCCAGGCTGTGACAGCTAAATCACTAAAAATCAGCAGGTTGGTGTAACTGTTTTATTTGTGCTTGACTGTTTTAATTGAAACACTAATGCTTTCTGTTAATTTGGCTGTTCTCAGCACAGCTTACATTGGTTTTGTCGTCAGTCCGGAGCGGAGGTGTTCATATTAAGGTTAGGTAACACTGCTTTTAGATTGGAAATGGGTTTTACTCTGGGTTTTATAATTGAACATGATGTTTGTGTTATTCTTTTTGCTTATCACAAAGAGCACTATCCTTTGTGTGTTTGCCAAGTATTAATATTAATATAATGATATTTATTTGCTGACAAATATTAAATACATTTGTTTGATTTATTATATGTTTGAAATAAAACCAGTCTAATATTTCAGATATCAAACAAACCCAACAGTAATGTAAGATATACATTTCAGAGACTGGCCTCCTAAGAATCACCAGAGCATCTGTCATTTCAGCAACTGGTAAAAATCATTTTTACATTCAGGTCTGTACAGGAGGAAGTGTGAGGTTATTACACTTTGCAGAGAGCGGAGGTCTGGGACGACACAGGAGAGTCTGTGTCCTACCAACAGTCAGTTCTCTCACCTGGACCTTTGTTACAAAACATATGACGCCAAAGATTCTTTAGTCCGTCTAACACAGTGTGGAGTGGTTTGAACTTAAACTGAGACTGTCCTCCTGTAAATTATTCATGTAGTTTGTGCCAGCAGGTTATTACAGCAAAACGTTACTTGTCATAGTCGAGCAAGCTGTTAATATGGGGGTGGGGTGGATGGCCAGAGTCACAAAACACAGGCGACCCCTGCTCACTTCCACTGTGTGGCTTGTGTTTCAAGCATTTTTGTTCCTAACATGGTTTTGTTCCTAAATGTGACCAATAACATTTTGTTCCTAAACCCTAACCTAGCAGTTAACCCTAACCCACTAACCAAGTAGTTTTTATGCCTAATCATAACCAAGTGTTTTGTGTGGGAGAACATTATGAAACTGTGACGGTTTCTTAATCACAGCGTCATATCTATGACAGTTTCCAAGACGGTGGGGTTCCAGTAGCTTGCTGCTAGCTAGTCTGCTATATAGCCTGCTAGCTAGCCATGCCATGTATGTGGTTGTTAATTTTAAGATAAGATCCCTTTATTGTCATCACACAAACTGTTCAATGACATCTCATGCAACTCCTGTCAATGGTATGGGAAATTAGAGTAGAGATAAAATAAAATAAAGTAAAGTAAAGAAGAAGTATAAAACCATTTACAGACGGTGGATATTAGCAAAATAGAAGATAAAATAGCTCACATATAATAAGTTAGCTAATAACAATACAAACTGTGGCAGAATTAATGTCCTTGATAACAACAAGATAATATTATTCCACTCAATGTAATATTGCACAGTTCCTTTTATGGTACATGGATAGAAACTGTTCAGGAGTCTCAAGGCGCAGCCTTAAAACTTTAAAGATTGTTGCAATGCCTCCCATGACCCATAGGGGGCTATTTAATTAGGTTGGGTTGTGTGAGAGGGAAGGGGAGGACTTGTTGCTTAATCTAAGTTTGGAGGACTTGTTGCTTAATCTAACCAAACCAGGGCTGTGGTGGTGTCACATCAGAAAATGCTTGTGTCGTCCTGGAGTGTGTGGACCAGCAACTTGGAGGATTTAACTCTTGGGCACGAGGAGCAAAAGACAAAACACCAGGTTTAGGTCAGGTTTGCCTGACACACTGTCACGCCCTCGCTAATGCCGACAGTCTCAAAACAGCAATGGACACTTTTAGTTTTGTTCACTGACTCTTGTTTTTAATGCAGCCAAGATCTTGAGCTCGCAGACGGCTGGTGATGGCTGAGGCCGCTGTGGCTCAGCGCTGACTAAGGCCTGTCACTGTGAGAGGCCAGAGAGGGAGCTTCATTTGTTCTAACTCCTGCTGTGTGTCCATCCTTATCTGCTTGTACGTGCGCTCTGTTTTAAGTGTGAGTAGGTCGAGTGTACACAAACCTGGCTGCGCACCTTGTGTGTGGACAGGTTCATGAATCCAGAGCTTTTCAGTAATTAGGCCATTTGCTTTTGTTTGTCTGTAGACAGGTGGAGTTTGTCCTCTGATAGACATGCAGCTGGTCCCCATATGTACGTGCACTAAACCGGTGGACAGTCAGACGAGAGCCCTGCCATGGATGATGGCAAAAATGAGTGAGCATGTGAGGAGCGTTGCACTTATTAAACCTGCCCTCCCCATTAAAGACATTTCACTGAATTAAGTTCGGCTCACGAGGTCAGTGACACCAAGAAGTGGTGCAGCGTTAAAGAACATTTTTCTTTCTGATCCTTTTTCACTCTCCGTCCTCCATCTCTCTTTCACTTGCACATTGTCGTTGTCATCTTTCTTTGTCCAGCGCCTCTGGGTCAACAGCACCATATTATCTGATCTTCGCTCTAATGTCGATGCAGTAAAGGCAGAAAATAAAAGCTATAAAACCTTTATGGCTTTCAGCTCCCCAGCAGCGACAGCAGCTGCTCTGTATGACACTGAATTTTCCTGAACGGCTCTTTGGCACAACTGCTTTACTGCTACGTGAAAACCTGCCACATTTAGGTTTTTTTTAAATATATTTTCTGAGTTTAGACAAAAAATTAGCTGCTCTTTGACACAAAACAGTAGAAATGATTTGTTCATGTAGGTTTTTAAAGACTGAAAACAGTGTTTTAAACTGGCGATGTACCAGTTTGATACGCCTGATAGTTCTGGAGCAGATAGCGACCCCGGTATGCCGACTGTATCAGCCAGAAGTGACGGAGCCAAATCCATACAGTTTGTGTCACTTGTAAGTTGATATGTTGAGCTACCAAACAGGCGCTTATTCCCACAACCAGTGGCTCTTTGAGCATCACTGCGAGGTGGATGTTTCCTTTGGACCTTGGGAGGCAGTGGCAGACGTTTATGACCTGCTGCACTGCATCGTCAGTGACCTGGCTGAGCGCGGCATCACTGCCGAGCAGCAGTGCATCGGTGTCTGTGACAAGCACCTTATTAACCATTACTACTGCAAGAGGCCCATCTATGAGATGATGTGCAGTGGTGTTTTATTATTTTTATTTCTACTTATTCATTTCATTATTGTTATTTACTTCAAGAATAAAAGGCCTCCTGGCCCATAGTTCCACATCCACATGCACTAAGATATACAAACATAATAATGACACAGAATCCTAATGTCACACCCAAACAAGGTGAAAATACAAAGTGTTCATAAAATAGATATTTTTTATGTCATGTTTGTTTTTTACTTCAGTGCCATAGATGGTATCTAGGCTCCATAATAAAACTATGCCAAGATGCTGAGTCGTGGTCGTACATCACACTGACATAAATAGTCATCTTCTCAGCGCTCCGTCATAAACACAGGCTGCCAGTCTCCATACAGGCTTGGAGGCACAAATCAGTGGGAAAGCAGAATGAACATTATCGGTACAAACAAGATAATTTAAATAATCACTGTGCAGGTGTGGATGCATGGAGCTCTCATCTTCTGTCACAGAGTTGCCCAAAGTCACCTCACCATGCTTTATACTACGTTGTGTCTGTTCGTGATGTATTACTCAGGTGTATTACACCTGTGTGTACAGTGCTGACATCTGAACAGAAATGATCATTAACTGCTTGTTACGAATGGCAGCAATGTGACGTTCTATTTCTTTAAGTGATTTATGTAGAGAATATACCTTCAGCTTATTGTTTTCCAAAAAGGTTTACCATATATCTTGTGCATGTTTCGCTCAGTTGTTGATCGACAGTGAGTCTGTCCCCCAACAAGCCTCAGCCCGGTGCTCCCTCTCTGTTCACTCTGGGTTTGGTCTCCACCACCTCCTGAGGGAAACCCTCTGGTTCTGGAGCTGCTAAACGCTCCACTGTGTTCCCCAGCTGGTCTCTGACTGGCTCTGTCTGCAGTTTGCCGCTGAGCAGGTTGTGGACGGCGGCTGTGTAGAGCGTCTCCTCTGCTAACAGCAGCTTCCTGCTGCGGCCCAGAACCAGGCTACGAGAGAAGGGAGAGTGAACCAGGACAGTAGAGCTGTGGTCCGTCACTAAACAATGAGCTGAGACTCACTGTGAAGCTGTGTAACACTGAAGGGAGCTGCAGATTCAGCTGATCAGTATGTGCAGGTTCATCACTACAGGAAAAGCCTCAGATATTTTCACAGTTTCCTGGTCATTTCCACTGTAATCCTGACAAAATGCTTCTCTGAAGATACTAGATTTCACTAGATATTACTGTAATTATTGTACTACACCTCATCAGACACAAGATTGGAGGGAAAAGGAGACTAAAGTGAAGGTGGGAGACAGTAAGTCTTAGAGATGTGGATGGCAGAGGCAGACTGGGGGGTAAGATAAAGTACAAGATTAGGGAAGAAAGAAACACTGGGGGCAATGGCACAAAGATGAAGAGGGCAACAGAGAGATGGTGGGAAGAAGCCTAAAGAACAGAATGACCAGGAGGAATGTTTATGACTGATCAGAGACAGAAATACAGAAGGGTGAAGAAAGCCAGGGGAAAGAATGGTGGATATGAGATTCATTTTTATTCACTGAACATTAAAAACAGTTTCAGAAATTCTCTGTTTGGTACTTTTAAATATCATGACACAGTGATGGATGGAAAGTTTAATTAATGGTTGGCGCTGCCATCCGGTCACAGGCTGTTTAAAAAGTCTTCAGCTGAGTGAGTTCAGCTATATGTGGAGTGTTAGCATGTTAAAGATGACCTTATGTGTTTATAAGATCCTGTGAAATGTGCCACTAGAAGAAACTTTGGAAGCTTTTCCATTCCGTGGCACAACGCTAACGGAGCTAGATGAAAACTCAGAGGGTCACCAGAGGTACTGCAGCTCATCCTGATGGCGATATGAACTATATTTTTATGACAATCCATCCAGTAGTTTTTGAAACAGTTCACGCAAACGGCACATGGTCTCGCCAACAGGAAGATCAGGGGAGCAGCATCTAGTTTCTGTTTTGCAAATTAAACAGAAATTTGAACCTTCTGGTGGCGCTCGATTAAAAAAAAAAACCAGGGCTTCATCGAAGTCATTTGGATTTGTCCTACAAGCATTAGGGTTAATTTTATTATAATTCATTAAAATGTTGGTGAGCTGCTTCACTAACAAGCACAAATCTCAACCTTGTGGTGGTTGAGGAAGCAAAGTCAGTAGGATTCATCCTCAGGGGAGCACGAATATGTGCACACGGTTTCATCACAGTTTGTGAGATGTTTCAGTCTGGACCAAAGCGGCGACTCGACCTCCCGACAGGTCAGCACAAAGCCGTGCAGCTAGAAACCAAGATTAGACATGTGACGCTGATGTTCAGTTCTTCCTCGGTATGTTGTCATAGATTCCACAGCGGCTCTCACTGTAAGTCACTGGTTAAGGCAGACAGGTAGGTGCAGTAAAATGTAAATGTCAGACTGTCTGGGGAAGCATTGCCTCCACTGATAGAATATATCACTTCAGCAACAGGTGCTCTGTCCTCTGGTGCAAATGAAATTCACAATATTTGGATGTGAATTTGTAAGAGTGAGAGGTGGAGATTGACACAGAGAGATTTACAGACATAGCTGAGATAGTGAGCAAATAGGTGGTTCAGCCCATGCTGACGTTCAAGCACAGTAAAAAGAGGTGGGAGAGGGAGAGACGGGCTGGAGCAGAAGAGCATGCAGGGTGTTCAGTCATTTAATAGAAGATCATCTCTGTGAGCCACAGTTTGATTCTGTGAATCAGCCGGGGCCTGCAGCCTGTTTTCTCTCTTGGCTGTCATTATGTTTGCATTGTTGGCTTTACATATGTGGCTCCCTGCAGCCTTAGGACGACGTGGAAGGAAACGCACAAGCTGGTTCATACTTGACAGAGCTGAGCACAGAAGAAGCTATTTTTAAACAGGACTAACATTGCCTGGGGGGGCTCCTGGTGTTTGGGAAAATTGTCTGAATCAGGCACCACTATAACTGGTTAAAGGATAAGGCCAGTCATTTTCTACATTAACACTGTTTTCAACAACATCCATACAGAGACTAGCAGTCAACTGCCTCTGCACAGCCTGGATTGTCTTGTTCATCCGGGCCATAGAGCTGTGCTGGTCTGCTGTTTTGTAATGAAGAAAGAAACGTGTCATTCACTGCAGCGGTGTGTTTCACTGATGTGTTTTTAATCATTTGTGAACAACAGCTGAGATCTGTGGCGCAGACAAACTAATCCAGGACTGACAGGCATGAGCTGTGAGCAGAGGCAGCTGGTCTCAGTCTGTGTATGGGGAGCGTTGAAAATGCCATTAATATAGAGAATGACCGAGCAGATTGCCTGCTGTTCTCGGGTACAGATTAAAGCCCCCTGACTGTCACACTGTGCAAGGTGTGATTTCAGCTGCAATTTACTTTGAGGATGTAACATTTTCTTCTTTTTTTTTCTACTGGATAAAAGTCTGGGGCAGAACTAGATCATGACAGTATTGCTTTAAATCACCCATCCATCCATCCATTTTCCTCCGCTTATCCAGGACCGGGTCGGGGGGGCAGGAGTCTAAGCAAAGATGCCCAGACTTTCGTCTCTCCAGACACTACCTCCAGCTCCTCCGGGGGAATGCTGAGGCGTGCCCAGGCCAGCCAAGAGACATAGTCCCTCCAGCGTGTCTTGGGTCTTCCCCGGGGCCTCCTCCTGGTGGGACATGCCCGGAAC